ATCTATACTATAGTAATAGGACTAACATGTTTTTATTTCCAAGTCATAATGTAGAATCATTTCAATTAAAATCACAACAAAATAAAAAATTCTTGTGCATCTAAATCACAAGCAAAATTAGCACTGACATAGATGTACTCTCATCGAAATTGTGCTCAAGACAAAAAGCAGTTAAAGTTGATGTTGCCTTATAATATATCAGAGCAAAATCAGGATTCAAGTCACCTTCCTTAGGGAAAATACCAAATGATTTTTTCAATTTAATCCTCAGGGGAAAACAGGATACAAGTCACCTTCCTCTGGGAAAATACCAAGTCTTGAGTGCAACTGCCGCTAAACATTAAGAAACTGGGAAACTTTTGTACAGAAAATGGAAGCTATTTAGAGAAGTTAGAAAATCTTCTATGTGTTATACCCGTTTTTAAGTGCAGTAGCGGTTAGTAAGTAGATAATTAATGTCCTATAAAATACACCGTATACTTCCGCTACAAATGAAAGCGCAAACCCAAGCATACTCACGTTGGCAACTGGTTGGAGTTGGACACACGGTGGGTATGCCCCAAAAAAAAAAAGCCCCCCACTTTTTGTTTTTTCGGTAAACCAAGAAAAAATGACATCAATCAGGAGTCCTCCATTGACCAATCGTTTTACAAACTTGTTAAATTAGTACCCCTACAAAAGCAATTAGCTACAATGCATATAACGCTTAACACATTCCTTTTGTTAAACAAGAGAGGGCAGCCCTTGAATTTTTGAACCGTAATTCCTTAGATAGTTCTGGCCGGAGATGTACTTTACTCCACTTGAAGGACCTAAATTTGATCAACTCCAGTACCTCTGTTTGGGATTCCTCTTCGTCCCTGAAGACCTTTTTATTTCTTCATAACCATGTTGACCAAATAGCATAGAACCAGACAATCCTACATGTTTCTCGCCCCTTTCCTCTGTTTAGCATACCCAAGTGCTGTTGTAAAGGAGCCCATCCATTTTGTTTCTGTGCAGAGTGCTAGCCCCACCACTTGTGCACTGATGCCCATACCATCCACGTTGCTTCACGAGAGAACAAAAGATGATTTGCGCTTTCGTCCTGATCCCCGCTCAATGACAATTCCTAGTGTTTTTTGAAACTCCTCTTTTAACCAATTGAGCTTTGTTGGTAATATGTCCTGCAATGCTTTCCAAGCAAAGCTGACGGCTTCACAGGAATCCCCTTTTTCCAAAAAAACCTATACTCTTGCTCTATGATAAAACCTAGGATTGAAATATCCAATCTAAATTGATTGATGCAAACTAAACTAATACAAGCTAAGTAAAACTAATTCACTGTTGCCACTTGGGTTTTCGGGTCTAGTGGCGTCAGATCACGTATAAATGCATTCTTTTACCTCCGGCAACGGTTCGAATCCGGTTCCTTGCGAATTTGTTAAAAAAAATAATAATAATCCACTGTTTGGTTCATAAAATTTCAAATTAATATAATTAGTTTGGTTTGTAATATTATTTTCAAACCTATGAACTATTTAATTGTAAAATAAATTAGAAAATAAATTAGAGTTTGTTTAGTTGATTTTAAAATGATTTCTAGAAATTATTTTTCACATTTTTTAGTGTTTGGCAATCACTTAAAAAATAAGTCAACAGAATATAATTTCAGTTAAAAATATTCTTTACACTTACCAAAAAATAACTTCCAAATAATTTTTCAGAAAGTTAGTTTTCTTCCAACCAAAAACATTCAGCTCAGGGGATGCATTTTTCCACAAACGAAGACAATAACAGAGTAGCAGAGCCTCCTTCAAATTCCCTGCAAACCCTAGATTAATCTCTATCCATTCGTTACCCTTCCTCCAGCAACTATCAAACTGAAGACTTGCTGCTATTTAGACCCGTCTAGACCCATCTTCACCCTCTAACGTGACTTACCACTGTAAAACTATTCATTCAATTAACTTTGTTGAATTTATTTGCAATCAATTGGTTTTCCCCTTATCCGATTCTTGTTGAGATTCATTCAACTATACCTAAATTAATTAACATTTTATGTTCAATAGAAGACATAAAAAGTGAGTTTTTGATAACAGTATGCGAGCAAACTGGGGTCGAGAAAGGGCGCGACTTTGTCTTCCCAAGATATAGACTTCTTGATTGCAGATGAGTTCTTGATTTTCCTTTATTCGAATTTTGATTTTTTTTTTCTATTTTATTAGCCTATATTATTAGATGTTTTGAATTATTAACTATTGATGTTTCAAAATCAAATTTGTTAATTGTTAATTTAAAAAATTAAGTTCTTAGAATGAGAAAGGAATAAAAAAGAAAAACAGAGATAATATGAAATGTACCACCTAAGATTCTTAAACAAGTTAAGATGAATAAAAATTTCAAAGTTATGAACCAACTCCTAATTGCATCTATTAACATAATGAAAATATAAATCACATCTCTAGTTGTATTGATATTTTTATTTAAAAAGTTGTTAAAATATAAGCAAATGATAATATTATATGTATATAAAAAGCGAATAATTGATTCTAAAGATAAAAATTCAAAAATGAAGAGAAAGTATACACAAACTATTAATATCACAAAAATCACAAATACTCTTGAAAAGTTCTTGCGAAAATAATCACAAAAGAGGTTTAAGTACTTGGAATCAGATGCTAAAATTACCCAAATTATACGCCAAAATGAGATCTCAATAAATTATAGCTTTCCTAGATTTCTAGATAGAGCTTAAATTAAGTTATTAATTATTATTATTGATAATATTATAAGAAAAGAGATAATCAATGAAAAAAAGAATTTTGAATCAAAATCCATTAAAAATGTTGAAAAAAATGATTGGTCAATATACAAAAAGATGATCTAAATAGAATTAAAATCATGTAAATAACTTAAGTTTTTGAATTAGTAATCCAAACATATAATAATATAGCCAATATACTACAAGAAGTATTTGTGACAGTACATAAAGAATAAAATGTAAAACTTGTAACACAAAAATTTAAACAAAACTCGAAATTGGTTATGAGAAGATAGCTACTTTTGGTAGATTTTATTATTATTATTTTTCTTAAAAGTCTGTAAAAGACTTCAAATACATTTTATGGATCTTTCGAGATAAACTATAACACTTTTTATAATTTTTAATCCTAAAATGTCATTTTTTTTATTGCAATCAATGCCTTAAAATATCTTATTGATAATATAGCGTTCATAAGAAATTGATTTATACAGATAATCAAAGTCACTATAGTG